CCATCTGCACCGATTTGGGCCTATTCAGAGTCCCTGCACCTGGAGGGGCCGCAATGGAAGTTGTTATCGGTACAAACGCCCTGGCCCCGGGGTCCGAGCATCTGCGGCCGGCCGCAAGGACGTGACCTGGTGCCAAGGACACGGAGCAGGCTGAGGTACCCGGAGCCGCCTTTGCCTTGGCCTTGGCCTTTACGGCAAACCCAGCCCTCACACAGCCTGGACCTCCCTGTGCAGTGGCAAAATTCGGAGGGGGACAGTGAGGAAGGTTGAGTTAAGGAACGTGTACGTAAATTCGATGTATACCAGTCCAGAGGGCTGGAGAGGAGGTGCGTGTGAAGGTGCTGAGGAAACCTGATGTCCTGGTGCTGATTCCGATCATCTCTGGAAGACTGTGGCAACCAGAGAAGACCTCCCGTGACTGGAAAAAGGCAAATACCACATCCATCAGTAAAACAAGGTCCAGAGAACAACAGGCCAGCCGGCCTTGCCTCTCTCTGAAGGCCATCATGGAACTGGACTTTCTGGAAGTCATTCCCAGGTCCAGGACAGAGTGGTGATTTGGAAAAGGCAGCACAGATTTACTAAAAGATTTTCCTTCTGTGATGCTGGGCTCTACTAGGTTTCAAAATCAATGGTTTACCTTGATTTTGGTAAGGTTTGTCAAGTGGTGTCCATAGCATCTCCCTAGTCCACTAATAGTCCAAAGGGACTAGATGAGTGGAGCCCCCCATCCCATGTCCACGAAAGAAAGAAAGAAAAAAAGGAAAAATAAAAAGGTTCAGAAGTTCTCAAAGAAGATTTAAACCAGCGTTGGAAGAGCCCTAAATACTCCTGCATTTTACCTTGATTTGCTCTATGAGCACCCTCCTAGCATTCCTAAATGTCTTGTAACTACGAACTGCAAAGCTGCTCGCTCCATAAGCAAGCGCTGGGCAGCTCTTTCCTTCTGAGCAGGCTCGTTGTTTGGAAGCGCACATGCTTCCCATGTTTCAGGAAACCTTCCGAGCAGGGAGGCTGGACTACATGGCCCCTTCCAACCTCACCCGTTCTCAAATTCTGGGGAAAAACAAACAAACAAACAGCGGAAGTGCTCCAAGAGCCAGCGGGAGGTAGTTATTTATGAGGGGCGTTCCCCAGCGTTGGCACCAGGTAAGCGCCCTGGCACCAGTGCAGGAAAGGGGCCAGCTGGATGGGAAGCGGGAGCTGCCAGTCCTGCTGGAGCGGCAGGTGTGTCCATGGGCACATCCCATCCCAAAACAGCTCCCGTTCCCCCAGGGAACTTGCCTCTTTTGGGTACCCCTAATAGATACTTATCTCCTCGTGTGTTAAAATGAACAAATTAATTAAACTAGCAGCTGGTTTCTTTGTTTCCATGGGGGGAGTTTCCTTTGCTCCGGCTCCCCTCCCTGAAGTTAAACACACGTTTAACTGGTGCAGGACACGCAGCCCTTGGGCTTCCCCGCTGCCTTTGAGCAAAGGTCTACTCGGGCGCGGGGCTTGCGAGGGACCTTGTGTCCAGCAGCGGACAGGCCGAGGCTGTGCACAGGCCGACAGGACTCATTGGCTCTGCACGGAGATTGCCCAAATCACCATGTCCCGCCTAATGGCTTCAGAGGTTGCTCATGGGATGAGCAGACACTTCAGCTGTGATGCAGTGGGCAAGGTAGCTGTGGCCTTGAGGAGATGATTTCCTGCTGCATTTAAGAGTGGTATATTTATTTCAGAAATGACAATGTTTTCAGCATGATCAGATCAGTGATTAACTTTTTTTTTCCCCTACTTCAGGGTAGGCTAAATGTGCCAAACTGAATCTTCCTGCATGCAAATCTCCCTCTCAGCGAACTCTGCAGGTGGGGAGGTGCCTCTCCGGGGCGCTGCTCCCCGGCCCTCACTCAGGCGCCGCTCCCGAGCCCAACGGCCGCTCCCGCCCGTCCCTTCCCCACAGCGGCCGCGTCACGCGTGACGTCACGCTACGTCACAGCGCGCGGGAAACCCGCGCCAACATCCGCAGGGGCCGCGCGCCCCGCCCCTTTTCCTCCTCCCCTCCCCCCAAACCTGCGCAGGCTCCGCCCCGCTGACGTGTGCGCGGTGACGTGTCGCGCTGGCGGCCCCGGAAGCGGCGGCGCGGGGCTGGCGCCGAGGCGGGGGCGCGCGGGCGGTAGCGGCGCGCGGAGTGGCGGCCGCTTCCCTCCCTCCCTCCCTGCCTCCCTCCGTCCGTCCGGCGCTGCC